AATTAAATTTTAATATAATACACTTTGATTTCTTTTAATTTAATCCTGTAATTAAATTTTTAATATAATACACTTTGATTTCTTTTAATTTAATCCTGTAATTAAATTTTAATATAATACACTTTGATTTCTTTTAATTTAATCCTGTAATTAAATTTTAATACAATATGTTTCTATATGAAAAAGTTAAAGTATAAGATTGAAACGTTCTTCGAAAAAAAAATTTTTTTTGAAAAAAATTTAATAAATTTTGAAAAATGTTGTAAAGAAATGAAAAGTATATCAATATAGAGAAAAAATTTTTAACTAAAAAAAAAATTAACAATAATAATTCGCGTGTAAAAATTCGAATAAACAAGCAATAGTTTGGGTCAAAGGTTATCGAAATGGATGGATGAGAAGAGAATAAATATGTTAAAATACCGGATGATATGACCTTCAGGAAGGGACATTATGCACATATAATGTATATTATGAATATAATTGCATGTATCCGTGAGTGTGTACGTGTGTATGTGTGTGTGTGTGTGTATGTATGTGTGTACCTGTGTATGTGTCTGTGTATGTCTGTGTATACTTGTGTCTGTGAGTGTATGTTTGTGTGTGTATATATTACGAAAGAGGATCGATTAAGTTTGGAATAAAAAAATATGGATGTGTGTGCGTGTGTGTACATGTGTGTGTGTGTGTGTGTGTGCATGTCTCCGTGTGTGCATGTCTGCACGCATGTCCGTATACGTGTGTATTTGCGTGGGTGTCCATGTGTATATGTGTACGTGTGTGTGTATGTCTGTGTCTGTGTGTATCGTGTCTGTTTATGTATGTTATAAAAGAGGGTCGATTAATATGAAAAGGAAATTGATGGAAATGATTCAAAAGATAACACTAGCAAAGAGTTATCTGATAAATGATAATGATAATAATCAATTGATATAACTAAAAATAATAAACAATAATGATCGATAAGTGATTACTGTACTGAAATTAAAGAAAAAAAATGATGGAAATTGTTAATTATTGATATTGATGGGTATGATAATTGATAACAATGATGACAAAATGAATCAGTGTGTTACATTGATTAGCGAATTACTGATAACAGACTAATTTTGTGACCTCATTTGACAGCTTCATTGAAAAGGAAAAAAGGAAATGATTGATTACTTCACTAAAGAAAAAAAAAAGAAAGAAGCTCCTATAGGGAAATTTATGCAAATTAATTGAAATTTTGAATTTTAAAGTGAAATAAATTCAATAAAAATGATTTATTTCTAGGAAATGCAATAGTAAGATTTCCTGATGTCCAAAGATTAATAGCTGATATTCAAAGATCAATAACAGTATGAATAAAATGTAAAATTGAATAATCAAATTTAATATCAAAAATGTTTTAAACTTAAATCAGGAATTTGGAATGCTTATTTTATGCTTCAAACAATTAATACTTGAATGTAAATTAACATTTATGAATTTATCCTTGCATTGAACAATCCTAACTAATTGTCCAATCTATCAGCTTTATCAAACTTATTAATTTCATCAATTAATTTAAAATGTGACTATCACAAGAAAAATTATTAAAGAAATAAACCAAACAAAAAAAAAAAGATGAAAATTTAAATTTAGGAAAAAATTTAAAAAGAATTTTAAAAAATAAAATGTTACTAAGTTGATGTATTCAAATATTGATTGAATTTATTCAGTAAAAGAATAAATAGTTGATATAGAAATGATAAAATGATTATAATTATGAACATGTTTGAACAATTTTGAAAAAATAATTAAATTTTATTTTTTAATCAAATAATTGTTTATTCTAAAAAAAAAAGGAAAAAAAACTTCAAAAAATCTTTCATTTACTAAAATATATTTTAAAACATATTTGATATAATATAAAATATATGTTTAATACGTTAAAATACATTTGAAATGTATTAAAATCATAATATATTTAAATTTATTTATTTACTTATTTGTTCATTTATTCATTTGTTTATTTGTTTATTTATTTATTTATTTGTTTGTTTATCTGTTTGTTTACATTTACACATTACATTCCAATGGATGCATATATTCGAATTTCTTTTTTTTCTAAAATTTTCGAAATTTATTAAAATTTGATTTATATATCAAAATGTTATATGTGTTGAAATTACATTTTAATTAAAGAATAAAAGTAACAAAAAAGGAAATGAATAGATGAGAGGGAGAGAGAGAGAGAAAGAGAGAAAAAAAAATGATGGTATATTTCCGGTTGGGAATACTAATCACTTCATAAGATGAAATTTACCTGGAATTATGAGTAAAAAAAATCCTTACCTGTTACAGAAATATGATAATTATTACTAATTTCAGCAATAAATTTATAATTCATATAGTTTACGGATTATGATTAATGATTATGATTTCAATTACTTGACGTAATTCACGCAATTATGATCAATTACTTCATGTGGTTTACGTGATCCTGATTGATTAGTTCACGTGATTATGATCACTAATGACATGACTAGAATGTAACATACCTATTTGAAAAGTTTCAAGAAAAAGAGGAACTATGAAATTTGATGAGAATGAAATTATTTGCACAGATATTAATTACATTAAAAAAAATTAATTAATTAATTATGCAAAAAAAAGGAGAGAAAAAAGCGAATAAAATCTATTATTTGGTTAATAATTATTTAAAAAATTTTAATTAATTTCAAAGAAGTAATGAAGAGAAGAAAGAAAGGAATAAAGAAAGAAAGGAATAAAGAAAGAAAGGAATAAAGAAAGAAAGGAATAAAGAAAGAAAGGAATAAAGAAAGAAAGAAATAAAGGAATAAAGAAAGAAATAAAGAAAGAAAGAATGAAAGACATTTAAGGCAAGCAAGAAAAAAGTTTGCAAACTGCATGCATGCATGCATGCATCTATGCCTCTTATTCTAATTTACTTACACAAACAGATGAATGCAAATAGAAATCAATTAACTAATTGCTATGTCCAAGCAAGTAATTCCAGAGATTAACCAAACACAAACACATTCATCATCAGAAATGTGTACGGGATATGTATTGGGTGTGTACCGAGGATGTACTGTGCGTGTACGGAGTGTGTAGTGGGCTGTGCACTGGGTGTGCACGGGATACGTACTGAGTATGCGCGGAGTTGTGTACGGTATGTGTACTGGATATGTACGGGATTGTACTGGGTATGTATGAGTATGTACTAGATGTGTACGAGGTGTGTACGGGTGTGTACTAGATGTGTACGGGGCGTACACTCGGTGTGTGTGTGTGTGTATGTGTGTGTGTATGCGTGTGTGTATGTGTGTGTGTGTGTGTGTGTGTGTGTGTGTTAGGGAAGGATACAAAGCCAAAGCCCTTTTTAAAATGATCCCATACTTATGGCCCTATTATGATAGTTATCGATTATGAATGTGGCCTAAATGAGGCTTAACATATCGAGTTGCAGAAGTAATTAATTAGTTGCATTAAGAAAATTTGGGACGGAATTAAATATTTCAATGTAATTACTGGGAAAAACTAATTAGAAAATTTTAAAAATCTCATTAAATTAATCGAAAAACGAAAAGTGGAAATTAGTGATTGTTTACTTATGACAGATATATACTTATCATTATCATAATCCTTTTTTATTATTATTTGTTATTACTTATTATTATTATTATTATTATTATTATTATTATTATTATTATTATTATTATTATTATTATTATTATTATTATTATTATTATTATTATTATTATTATTATTATTATTATTATTATTATTA